AATTTTGAGATAACCGGGTGCCCATGTTTGATTACGGGGAATGCCTGCCATCTCTCACCTTGTTAACAAAGCATCCTCATTGGGGCTCCCCCCTAGACAAACCTTTAGGCCGGACAGGTGAGAGCTTTCTCCCTGTTTTTCCTGTGGTAGGATTAAAAGGGCTTTTCTTGACAGTGGAAACATGATTGTTCTTGGGTGAGGTCCTATTTTACCTATGCAAGTTTGGGGGGGGGGGAGCAAGAGTTTGCAGCTTTATTTCATTATTTTTCCATCACCCTACTCATAGGTTATTGGGCAAATTAGAAATATAAATAATTATGATCATAATTGTCTTCAGTCCTTCTCCCCCAGTGCCCATCATAGTTTTAAGACCAGAAGGTGGAGCATGAGTTTATTCTCCTTCCACACCAAATCTATTCAAGATTTTTTTGGGGGGGGGGTGTAAACCAGTGGCCATGTGGCAGCAGTTATTTTCAAGTTAAACATGGGCTCCTAAAGGTAGGCAATGTTTTCTTGGGATGTGCCCAGATAAACCAAATCAGAAGACAGGACTGGCCATATCATTAGGCACTTCATCACCATTTCTTCTGAGCATCCCAAGATGGAGTTGGAACTAGCCCGTTACCTGACTCATTGCAAAGCTGAAGAAGGATTTCTGTCCATATTAAAGTGAGGAATCCACATTTTGCGTGGTCCTAGGCTGGTACATGCCCAAGGCTGGCCCTTTTGATAGGGCAAATAGCTTGCCACAGCTCTTAATTGGCTTTCAACCACAAGAAGGAAGAAATTATGGGACAACACAGGAAAGTTACAAGCAAAGGCCAACTTTATCTGGAGCCCCTGTGAGATTTCAGTTATGAAGCAGATGGAAGCATCATAATTTGAAACTTGCTATGCTTTTTCAAATTTTTCTATCCCGGATCTGGCTTATTCTTCTACTTCTGCACTGCAGAAATTTATAAGATATTATTATAAATTGAAGATCAGCAAGGAGAACAGAATAGTTCCTTTGAGAAGCTTGCTGTCTGTTGCACTGTAAAACAAATTTCAGTCTTAGAGACATTGAATAAAATGCTATGGTCAGCCTGTCTCATTCACTGATTTTAATGTCACCTTGAGCGCAACAAGAAAAAGACAGAACTAGACAAGTTCCTGGTCTAGGAACATCAGACTCACAAATCTGAAACACGCTTGGTGAAATCTTCTCTTTGGGAAATTCTAGAATCCAGATCTAAAGGCTGTGTGAAAAATGTGCAAAAGAGATAAGTCCTGAAAACCTTTTCTGCAAGCTTTCAGGTGCCAATAGTGCTTGAATGAGAACATGAATGGGCACCCTCCCAGTTTGTGGGTCTATTTGCATCCCCTTCTAGAATCCCTGATGCAGACCACCACTAGTGGTCAATGGCAAACTGCCCTTTTCATTGGAGATGGTGTTTTTTTTAGATTTATGGGCTTTCCAGCTTTTATTTTTACTTCTCCCAGTTTTCACTGAGCCCCATCCATTCACTAAGCCTCCTTCACTCTGAGAACATAATGGCAATGGCAATGACATCATGGTGCTGGAGGACTGTCTTCACTGGAGAAAAAATGCTTAGTTATTAGGAATGAAAAGTTGCCCAACCCTCATTTAAGGACTCCATTTCTGAATATTTCATATCAGTAACTCTATCAAACCCAGGACAATCCTGTATCCTGTAATCACTAGATAATCTTTATGGAACTCAGTGGGGATTCCCTGGTGTCTCTCTTCCATCCAGGCACTGACAAGACCAAGACTTGCTTAGCAAGTCAGCAAGCTGCAACCATGTCTTTCTCCCCAACCTGGTGCCCACCAAATGGGCTGTATTACATCACCCATAATCTTTAGCCACCACCCAAACCCACAGAGGTACATTCTATCCTACTCCTTACTTATCATCTTTTTCTCCCACCTGTCATAGCCAAGTTCTCACTGTTTTTCATGAAGTTGTTTATTGTAATCTTTAACAAAGTAGAAGTACTTCTGCATCAATGGGAGTTGCCCCAGTCCTTGGCCTATAGGTCTTCAGTCTTCTTTCTCATCTCCATGTGTGATAATGTAACACAAAGATTTGTAGTCAATGTTTCCAGCCACATCCATGGGGGCAAGAGAAAACATTTGCTCTACCTAGATAGGAAGAAATGCAGAGGCCAGAGTAAGTATGGGAAATCACAGTCAATCAACCTTTGAAGGCCTTGCAATAAGATCTCCGGGGATTCCTCTCTCCATCAAAGCCCTACATCCTGATCAATGGTGGACAACCCATTGGCCATACAGGGGTCCTCAGCCTTTGTTATAGCTCCTGAGAACACCAAGATAGAGCTATCAAAAGTCAGCAGCAAACTTCCAAAATTTGGTGAGGTGATTAAAAAAAGAAAAGAAAATAGTTATATTAAATAGATCTAATGTAATGATTAAATGACAGCACCTCAGGATTTGAAAACTGAAATTAAAAATTCCACATGTTGCGTCTGAACAGTCACGTATTGTGAAGGATCACCGTTCTGAACCAAATCCTATCAGTTTCAAACACAGATCAATTAATATGTGGGGAGAAAGGTATCTCCTAGCTTTGGTGCTCTTGTGAGAAAAATGTTCTTGCCAAGCGAGGATTTTGACAGAAGGATTATCTTACCTCCTCAACAGAAAACTTGTCTGCTTGAGTTATCAGGAGTTGTTTAAACCTGGAAAGCAAATTTTAAAAGTCAGTGCTGTTAAACACATTGCCCAGATCTCTGGTTTTTGTTATTGGATAGAAGGCCTCCTGGGATAATGGAAAAAAACAATAAGTTGACAGTAGTTCTTGAACTTGGAAGTTCAAGAACTTGGAAGTTCTTGGAAGATATTATTTACATATGTGTTTGGTTTTTAATTCTATTTTTATTGTATTTTATATTGTTTTTATTGTATTTTAATATTTATTCCTGTTTTATTGTGAACTGCCCAGAGTCACTTGTTTGTGAGATGGGCAGTATCTAAATTTGAAATATAAATATATGTGTTTGGTTTTTAATTCTATTTTTATTGTATTTTATATTGTTTTTATTGTATTTTAATATTTATTCCTGTTTTATTGTGAACTGCCCAGAGTCACTTGTTTGTGAGATGGGCAGTATCTAAATTTGAAATATAAATATAAATAAATAAATAAACTTGAGCGCCAGTTTGGTGTAATAGTTAAGGTACCAGTCTAGAAACTGGGAGGCTGAGATTAAGATACCAGGCTAGTCCCACCTTAGGCACAAAGCCAGCTGGGTGACCTTGGGCCAGTCCCTCCCTCTCAACCCTAGGAAGGAGGCCATGCAAACCACTTTCTTGCCAAGAAAACTGCAGGGTCTTTTCCAGGCAGTCTCCAGGAGTCAGCACTGTTTAGAAGGTGCATGCACACAAAGAGTCCTTGAACTTACTCATCTTTGTTGACATAGCCAGTTCCATTAGGATCAAAGAGTTTGAAGGCAGCTAGGATGGATTCCTCTGGATCAGTACCTACAGAAGATGCAGGTTGCTTAGGAACAGAGAAAACTGCCTTTCTGAGTTCCCCACTGGATGTTGGTGACTCTCAATATTGCTTAAACCAGGAACGTGCACAACGTTTTCCAGATTGGAGGGCACGCTTGGCCAATGAGTGTCATGCCAGAAGCTACATTCTAAAAAATTGGTAACATAAAGCTAAATTTGAGTTCATATTATTTAAACTGAATAAATACAGTCAATATGTTCAGTGTCATGTATTTAATAATTCTCTTCTATCACATTGAAACTGCTTCTGGGAGGTTTCTGGAAGCTGCATCCAAGGCTCTGGGACACTGCTGGCCATCCCACATCCCCAGGAATGTGAATCGTTACTTAACCTGTGTAACGGTATGTGGGAAAGACCTTGGGAGACGGGGTGAGTTCTATATGCAGCTCTCTGGCAGCAAGCATGCTGTGTCCCGAGGTAGCAAAAGCTTTAGTTTCCATCTGCATGAGTGACTGCATGTGAGCACTGTCTGCTATGGAGTATTCACAAAGAGGGCAGCATCTGCTTCACCCCATCTCCCAAGGTCTTTCCAACATACCATTACACCTGGTTACTGAATTAATCCATTTTCTGGGTTTGCACCATACATTGAATTAAAAGTCACTGAAACAGGCTGGTTTTGTGCAACATATTCATCTATCAGTAAATAAAGATGCACTTAACCAAGTTTCATTATTTATTTATTTTGCAGATTTTTGTCCCATGTTTCCTTCAGATTAAAACTAACCAAACTTAGCATGTGGTGTGAATGCATCTGCTAAATTTTCATTAAACCTGGATAAGTACATGGGGCAAATTCAGCCTCTGACTGAACCTCTCTAGGATTTCAAATCATTTTTTTTCCTGGAGATATGTTAGATAAAGCCTGGGATTTTCTGCATGCATAACTGTGTTCTCTGCCAGAGAGCTATAGCTCTCCAAAGAGTGAATCTCTGTGTGGGGAAGATCTTCCCCCTTGTCTTGGGAGAGAAAGGACAGAAGAAGTGAAAGTTCTAAGAAAAAATGGAAATTTGGGAGTGTCAGAACACAAGGCAAATATTGAGCCTAATCTTGATTATTGAACACATTCCAAGGCTGTGATAATGCTAATTTACCATTCAGTTTCTCCCCAAAGAGTGTTAAGAAGACAGTGAAGTTAATTGGTCCTTTCCCTTCCTTCAGCATCTGTTCCAGCTCTTCATCCTTCACATTCATTTTCCCTGTAGAGAGAAAACAGATCCCAGTCAACTTCATTCCTAGCTGGGCACATCACTTTCTATTGTTTGCTTTCTCCAATGGTGAGTCCAAAACCACTTCTAGAGTGGAGTAGGTGTGGAATATTTGGACAGAACAAAGCACAATTCCTTAATGCTTTGGTTTCACTTTTATACCATGAGGAAATGATTCAGACTCCCAACATATGGGGAGAATTTCAGATATGGGGGATTTTGGTAATATCTCAACTTATCAACAGACTTCCAAAAGCCACCCTTTCAGAGAGGACATCATTTGAATATATATTTTCCCTTAAACATCATGGCCTTCAGGACAAGACAATACCAAGTCAAGCCAGCGAACAATTCATATACAACATGTGACAATGTTTCAGTCATATGTTTAGTCATCTTTTTCTTCTGTACATTAAAAATTATAATTTTATAAGCAATACTTAGACATCTCAGGGTCTTGCACCCTAAAATTTAGGGGGCAGATCCAGTCTTAGGACCTTCAGATTTTGTGCCTCTCCTCTAAAGAAAGAATGCCTTCAAACAGAAGACTGCCCTCTGATGGGTCTTCCAATGTCAAATTAAGGGACAGTATATCAGCCATTGCATACATAATAAAAAAGGGAAAGTTCACTCCTCCCTTTTAAAAGTGATGAACTGTTTATTAACAGTAACACCATCCAGAATTGACAACAAGTGCTTAGAGTTCCAAAAATAACACAACCACTACTAGTTCTCCAGATAAGCAAATTCCACCTTTCCTCATCTCCCTCCTCCAGCATACTTCCACTTGAAAGACCACTGCAATTTTTGCATTTTGGTCTAGGGAAGCGTCACCTTGATCTCTGCAAAAGAAGGAATGAAGAGCAGAGAGGAGCAGAACTTAATGCTCTCTTTTTTGAAACAAAAAAGTCTTTTTTGAAACAAAAAAGTCCCTATCATCTCTAGCATGGGAAGAACAAGAGGGTGGGTAATATCTGAAAAAGAAGAGATGAGAAATGTTTCTGTTTGCCTGAGACCTGCAAAGATGTTCCTGGTCAGTGTAAGCAGTATTGAACAAATTAGATGAATAGTCTAGCTGGTATAATTTATCTTCCACTGTTCCAGGGCCTTACTATTATAACTCTTTATGTATTACTATCCATACCATGGATTCACTACACAATGTCCTGGTTGCATCCACGAATTAAGAAGTAGATGAAACATACTATTTGATTCGATACAGTTTCCAAGTTTGGAAAAGATCAGAAACTTATGATATATGCTAGAAATCTGGCAGTCCCATAACAGTGTCGGATTGTTTTCATTCCTATCTGCTAGATCTTTAGTAAAGAAAAAATTCCTGAGCTTGCTCAGACCATAGCTTCATAACCAGAGTAAAGTCGCTCACCAAGTTGACAGTATGTCTCCTTCAAATCAGATTTGCTGATAATTCCATCTCGATTCTGGTCAATGCAACTGAATGCCTTGGGGAATAAGTAATCTCAGTCAGATTCCTCGGGTATAATTATTTAATGTCACTATAAAAAAAATGTGTAGGCTCATACAATACGTCCCCTGCTTTCCATTCTCAGGAATTACATTCTTCAGCTTGGCTGTTTTCTCTCCTGTCATTGTGCTACTTTAAGAGCTTAGAAATCCTTGGCTGTTTTACAGAAGCTGCAAGTGTTATTTTCGCTTCTGTCCTCATTTGCATGCAATATCTTCTGAGTATTACTTTCTAGCCTGCACTGGTAAACTTTGCAAATGGTAAATACCAGTCTGAAAAGTAAAGCTTGGAAAGTACTTCTTTTTTTTAAGTATCCCTGAAAGATGTCCTATATCCTCTCCTTTATTGTTCATATTAATGAGGGAGCTGGCTATAAAACAGGGCAAAACATTTTCCCATTCAGGATAAAAAGTATTGCCTTCACTCTTACTGGCTTTGTGATATCACTATATGGTTAAAATCTGATTATTTCCATGGCACTTGACATCATTATTGATGAACTCCCTCCTTGGCTAGATCAAGTAATCTGCAAGAATAATTCCCTCTTTAAAGGTAACAACAGGTATAGTAATTATAATCATAATTGCAGTAAAGCAGCTGCTGAAATCATATTGAAACAGAATAGAATAAAATGATGCAAGAAATATTTTGAAAAGAGGCATACATTGGGTCTGAGCTGGACACAGTTTTGATTATAAATTCCTTAGGTATGGGGTCCTAGAACTTGCTCACCTCCTTGAACTCCTGGATCTGTGACTGCTCAAACATTGAAAAAACATTGGAAGAACCCCTCTGAGCCCGCTTCGCTGCAGCTTTGCTTCGAGTCCCAGCTTTTCTGCTAGCCTGAAAAAAAAAAAAAAATCTGGCTAGATCAGGGTTTCTCAACCTTGGCAACTTTAAGATGTGTGGACTTCAATTCTGGGAGTTGAAGTCCACACATCTTAAAGTT